TGGGGTGTATGTATGTGGTGTATATGTATGTGGTGTGTATGTATGTCGTGTGTATGTGTGGTGTGTATGTATGTGGTGTGTATGTGTGGTGTGTATGTATGTGGGGGTGTATGTATATGGTGTGTGTATCTGTAGGGTGTGTATGTGGTGTTTATGTGTGGTGTGTGTATGTGTGGGGTGTGTTTGTGGTGTGTATGTGGTGTGTATGTGTGGTGGGTGTATTTGTGGGGTGTATGTATGTGGTGTATATGTATGTGGTGTGTATGTATGTCGTGTGTATGTGTGGGGTGTATGTATGTGGTGTGTATGTGTGGGGTGTATGTATGTGGTGTGTATGTGTGGGGTGTATGTATGTGGTGTGTTTGTGGTGTGTTTGTGGTGTGTATGTGTGGGGTGTATGTATGTGGTGTGTTTATGGTGTGTATGTGTGGGGTGTATGTGTGGTGTGTATGTGTGGTGTGTATGTATGTGGTGTGTATGTGCGGTGTGTATGTGTGGTGTGTATGTATGTGGGGGTGTATGTATTTGGTGTGTGTATCTGTGGGGGGGTGTATGTGGTGTTTATGTGTGGTGTGTGTATGTGTGGGGTGTGTTTGTGGTGTGTATGTGGTCTGCATGTGTGGTGTGTATGTGGTGTGTATGTGGTGTGTATGTGTGGGGTTGTATTGTGGTGTGTGTATATGTGTGGGATGTGTTTGTGGTGTGTATGTGGTGTGTATGTGTGGTGTGTGTATGTGTGGGGTGTGTTTGTGGTGTGTATTTGTGGTGTGTATGTATGTGGTATGTATGTGTGTGGTGTGTATGTGTGGGGTGTGTATGTGGTGTGTATGTGGTGTGTATGTGTGGGGTGTGTATGTGTGGTGTATATGTGGTGTGTATGTGTGTGGTGTGTGTATGCGTGGTGTGTATGTGTGGGTGTGTATGTGTGGTGTGTATGTGTGGGGTGTGTATGTGGTGTGTATGTGTGTGGTGTGTATGTATGTGGTATGTATGTGTGGGGTGTGTATGTGGTGTGTACGTGTGTGGTGTGTGTATGCGTGGTGTGTATGTGTGGGGTGTGTTTGTGTGGTGTGGATGTGTGGGGTGTGTATGTGGTGTGTATGTAGTGTGTATGTGGTGTGTGTATGTGTGGGGTGTGTATGTGGGGTGTATGTGGTGTGTGTATGTGTGGGGTGTGTTTGTGGTGTGTATGTGGTGTGTATGTGTGGTGTGTGTATGCGTGGTGTGTATGTGTGGGGTGTGTTTGTGTGGTGTGTATGTGTGGGGTGTGTATGTGTGGGGTGTGTATGTGGTGTGTATGTGGTGTGTATGTGTGGTGTGTGTATGCGTGGTGTGTATGTGTGGGGTGTGTTTGTATGGTGTGTATGTGTGGGGTGTGTTTGTGGTGTGTATGTGGTGTGTATGTGTGGTGTGTGTATGTGTGGGGTGTATGTGTGGTGTGTATGTATGTAGTGTGTGTATGTGTGGTGTGTGTATGTGTGGGGTGTGTTTGTGGTGTGTATGTGGTGTGTGTATGTGTGGGGTGTGTTTGTGGTGTGTATGTGGTGTGTATGTGATGTGTATGTGTGGGGTGTATGTGTGGGGTGTATGTATGTGGTGTGTGTATGTGTGGGGTGTGTATGTGTGGGGTGTGTTTGTGGTGTGTATGTGGTGTGTGTATGTGTGGGGTGTGTTTGTGGTGTGTATGTGGTGTGTATGTGTGGTGTGTGTATGTGTGGGGTGTATGTGTGGGGTGTATGTATGTGGTGTGTGTATGTGTGGGGTGTGTTTGTGGGGTGTATGTGTGGGGTGTATGTGTGGGGTGTATGTATGTGGTGTGTGTATGTGTGGGGTGTGTTTGTGGGGTGTGTTTGTGGGGTGTATGTGTGGGGTGTGTTTGTGGTGTGTATGTGGTGTGTGTATGTGTGGGGTGTGTTTGTGGTGTGTATGTGGTGTGTATGTGATGTGTATGTGTGGGGTGTATGTGTGGGGTGTATGTATGTGGTGTGTGTATGTGTGGGGTGTATGCGTGGGGTGTATGTATGTGGGGTGTGTATGTGTGGGGTGTGTTTGTGGGGTGTATGTGTGGGGTGTATGTGTGGGGTGTATGTGTGGGGTGTATGTGTGGGGTGTATGTGTGGGGTGTATGTGTGGGGTGTATGTGTGGGGTGTATGTGTGGGGTGTATGTGTGGGGTGTATGTGTGGGGTGTGTTTGTGGGGTGTGTTTGTGGGGTGTGTTTGTGGGGTGTGTTTGTGGGGTGTATGTGTGGGGTGTATGTGTGGGGTGTATGTGTGGGGTGTATGTGTGGGGTGTATGTGTGGGGTGTATGTGTGGGGTGTATGTGTGGGGTGTATGTGTGGGGTGTATGTGTGGGGTGTATGTGTGGGGTGTATGTGTGGGGTGTATGTATGTGGTGTGTGTATGTGTGGGGTGTATGTGTGGGGTGTATGTGTGGGGTGTATGTGTGGGGTGTATGTGTGGGGTGTATGTGTGGGGTGTATGTGTGGGGTGTATGTGTGGGGTGTATGTGTGGGGTGTATGTGTGGGGTGTATGTGTGGGGTGTATGTGTGGGGTGTATGTATGCGTGGGTAGCTGCGAGTGGGTGGAGATTGCGGGTGTGAGGGGGTGTGGGGGTCGAGGAGACGCCGAGCCAAGGTGGATGATGCTTACGTGCTCGCTAATGCGATTTTAAACTCCCTCGTTAGTTTAATAATTCCTCTCGTTAGTCGCGGCGACAGCGCCGCGCCGCGTGAATGGAGGCCAAGTCTGCGGGCGGAGATTGTGCCGCGAGAGATAATCACTTAGCTCTACACCACCTCGTCACACCACCTCGTCACACCACCTCGTCACACCCCCTCCTTACACCACCTCGTCACACCACCTCGTCACACCACCTCGTCACACGTTACTTAGCTCTACACCACCTCGTCACACCCCCTCCTTACACCACCTCGTCACACCACCTCGTCACACTACCTCGTCACACGTTACTTAGCTCTACACCACCTCGTCACACCATCTCCTTACACCACCTCGTCACACCACCTCGTCACACATTACTTTGCTCTACACCACCTCGTCACACCACCTCGTCACACCACCTCGTCACACCACCTCGTTACACCACCTCCTTACACCACCTCGTCACACCACCTCGTCACACCACCTCGTCACACCACCTCCTTACACCACCTCGTCATACCACCTCATCACAACACCTCTTCACACCTCCTCGTCACACCACCTCGTCACGCCACCTCGTCACACCACCTCCTTACACCACCTCGTCACACCACCTCGTCACACCACCTTGTCACACCTCACTTAGCTCCACCCCACCTCGTCACACCACCTCGTCACACCACCTCGTCACACCACCTTGTCACACCTCACTTAGCTCCACCCCACCTCGTCACACCACCTCGTCACACCACCTTGTCACACCTCACTTAGCTCCACACCACCTCTTCACACCACCTCGTAACACCACCTCCTCACACCACTTCTTCCCACCACCTCGTCACACCTCACTTAGCTCTACTCCACCGCGTCACACCACCTCGTCACACCACCTCGTCACACCTTACTTAGCTCCACACTACCTCGTCACACCACCTCGTCACTTAGCTCCACATCACCTCGTCAGACCGTCTCGTCAAACCACCTCGTCACGAAACGCAGTAAATATGGGGCGCGCTAAGCGAGCATCTCCTGATATCGAGGGTGGGGAAGCAGAAGCGGGGGGGGGCAGTGGGGGGGCAGTGGGGGGGACAGTGGGGGGCAGTGGGGGGGCAGTGGGGGGGGCAGTGGGGGGGGGTCACCCATATCCACCCCCTCGGTGCCACTCCGCTTGGAGCTGGCCAGAGCCCAGCGCACAGCTCGGAGGTCACGAGCTGTCTCGCCTGCGCAACTGCTGCGGGATCTGGCAGGTGGAAGGAAGCGAAGGCGGTGGCTAGCGGGGACCTCTCCAGCATGCGCCTAAAAGTGTCTCCCCAGCCAGCAAGAGGAGTTTTATTTTTCAATCTATATTATTTAAAAGTTGCATAGTTCTAGTGGCATCCTAATATCGGAAGGAAGAGCGTTCCAAGCGGCCACAGAATCGCATCTGAAAGCACGAAGACAATAAAAGTCGTTTTATCGCGCGCACGAAACACCGCCCTCGCCTCTGAGTGGACATCAAAGGCGGAGGGGGGGGGGCGCTGGTGTTCATTAGGGAGGCACGGGGCCCCCCATGGAATCGCCAATGAACACAACGAATCACCCCGCGTCCCGGTGAGGTGAGCTACAGGTGACCCCCCCAACTCCCCCCCCCCCCCCCCGCTTCCTCTTCAATCTGCTACAAGAAGTCAGAAACACGGACACACTCTGACCCCCCTTCCCCCTAGCCCCCCCCCCGCCCCACTCTGTAGTTATTCCACCGCGGCCTCCGAGAAATGATTTTGCAGTAAATTTCCAGCCGCGTGAATCTCTCTCTGGGCGGAGTGGAGCGAGAGAGGAGCGCGCGCGCCGCCCCTCCCTGCCGGCGCGCGGGGCACAACAGAAGTTGTGAAGTTTTTTTTTCTCTCTCCCCTCTCTCCCTTTCTCTCTCCTCTGCCTCTCCGTTCTCCTCGTTGTCGGCGCAAGCGGCGCTTCGGCGAGGAGTGAGAATTGAAGCCGATAGCGGGCGGCTTTGCCCCCTTCGCGGGCCGCGCTCGGGAATTAGCATCGCGTCGGGGCGCGTGCGCGTGTGAGAGCGCGCGCGTGCGCGCGCGGCCCGGCAACACAATGCCTTTTAATTACCGCTCTATTTATCTCGCGGTGAAAAATGAGACGGAGCCGCGGCTTTGTGAAAATGAGGCGTGATAAATCTGCATGTCCGGCTGCTGCATTCGTCCGAAATTAATCCCATATTTTACCGGGTCCTGGCCACACGCCTCCCACCCCACCACCCCCCGTCACCGTCTCAACCACCCCCGGGGCCCCCCCCCACCCCCCCCCCCCCGTCAGCCCTAAACCCGGGACCTGATCTGCATAGGGAAATGCGGCTCATAAATTGCCACGGTTTGTGACCGCGACGCCAGGGGGGGGGAGGGGGTGTGGGGGGAGGGAGGGGCCGCGGGGGAGGGAGGGGGGAGGGCGCGCTCAGGGTCGTGAGCGCAGACTCACCGCGTGTTTTTCGGCGGCCCCTGAGAGGGAGGACCCAGAGGGATCAGGAGGGTACTGGGAGGGATCAGCAGGGTACCGGGAGGGATCAGGAGGGTACCGGGAGGGATCAGGAGAGTACCCAGAGGGATCAGGAGGGTACTGGGAGGGATCAGGAGGGTACCGGGAGGGATCAGGAGGGTACCGGGAGGGATCAGGAGGGTACCGGGAGGGATCAGGAGGGATACCGGGAGGAATCAGGAGAGTACCCAGAGGGATCAGGAGGGTACTGGGAGGGATCAGCAGGGTACCGGGAGGGATCAGAAGGGTACCGGGAGGGATCAGGAGAGTACCCAGAGGGATCAGGAGGGTACTGGGAGGGATCAGGAGGGTACCGGGAGGGATCAGGAGGGTACCGGGAGGGATCAGGAGGGTACCGGGAGGGATCAGGAGGGATACCGGGAGGGATCAGGAGAGTACCCAGAGGGATCAGGAGGGTACTGGGAGGGATCAGGAGGGTACCGGGAGGGATCAGGAGGATACCGGGAGGGATCAGGAGGGTACCCAGAGGGATCAGGAGGGTACTGGGAGGGATCAGGAGGGGATACCGGGAGGGATCAGGAGGGTACCGGGAGGGATCAGGTGGGTACCCAGAGGGATCAGTTTCCCCCAGTTCCCGGCAATGGGATATTGGGAGGGAGCCGCTCTGCTCCGGCCCGAGGCGGGGTCCCTTGTCGAGCCTCCGAGTCCGTTTGGAGCCTTGAGACCCGGTCACGCGTTCCACTGCGCGACTCAAAAGTGAGTCACCAGTTCATGTGGGCGGCGCTCACGTCGGTTGATTGCTCGGAGGTAATAGTGGACATTCCGCATTCCTCTGGCGGGGTCGCCACCAGAGGAAAGTGGCGATCAGCTGTCCCCGCGACCGGGAGGTGAACCCCGCGGCTGTGAGGTGGCCTGGCTCCGCCGCAAGCGGCACGGGACTCGCGCGGATAAAGAGATCAGCAGCAGCACGAGAGCTGGGAGCCTTGCTGTTTGTATTCCTCGCTAATCACGAATGTGCGTGTGTCCTCTAAGATGATCTCCGCGATCCCCCCCCGCCCGGCCCCCCGCCCCCCGGCCCGGGCCCACCACCCCCCAGCTCCGTATCGAGTGAGCGAAGCCTCTTGATGACCTCGCGCAGCCGCCACAGTTAAGCACCCAAATTGCCGCAATCGCTCCACTTTAAGACTCGCGAGCTTCGTTATCAACTGCGCGGCCGCTTTCGAGTTGGAGTCCGCGCCGCCTCATCATCCCGCTCCTCCTCTCCGCTCTAAATTCCCTTTGACTTTAGATCTTAACTCGCCCTTCTCTTAGCGAACCGAGCTCTTTAGGACCCATTATTCCTCTCCAATCATTACCGCCACCACTATCATCATCGCCCTACACGGACTCCCCGCGTTCTCCTTCACCCCACGGCTCTCTCACGGCGCCCCGCGCGGGTATCCCCGAGCGCCGCCACAGCTCCCTCCTGCCCCCCCCCCTCCGTCCGCCCCCCGCGGTGGCTCCACGTGTGGGCTGGAGTCGGCCTGTTACACGCTCCATTGGAGAGGGATTACAGTTTATGCAAGGTCAGTGGGGATGTAATAATTATAATCATACGCGGGTTAGCTTCACAACGACTCTCGTTTGTTATCGCCAGCCCAGCAGCTCTGATGGGCGCCTGCGCGCCTGACAGCCCCACTCTGATTTACCGACTCGTGCCGCCGTCGTGAGTGTGGGGAGGGGGCCGCGTGCCGAGCAGGGGCAGAGCGGTGGGGGGGGGGCGCGCAGACAGCGTGGCAGAGGAGGTGGTGGTGGGGGGAGAACAGGAAAGAGCCCGCGATGGTCAAGATAGAGAGAGGCGCGTGGCGCGGCGCGGGAAGCAAGAGGGATGCTGATGTATAATAATAAGGGCGAGAGACAGTTTGAGAGAGCGTGATGGAGACGGGCAGATAGGCGGGGACATCCGAGAGAAGGAGTCGCCAGATAAAAGGGCAGGGGGGGGGGCTGGAGGGGGCCGGGGTGGGAGGGCGACAGAGAGAGAGAGAGAGAAAAAAAGGACCCGACAGTGATTTCACGGACGGCGACGCGCGAGACACCAAACATTTCGCGACCACGCACAGTGGACGCGAAATTACGGATGAATCGTGTAACACGAATAAATATAGATTTGAAGAACGTGCAGAGAGCGGCGTGAGAGCAGCGCGTTCATGTGAACCCGAGCTGGGACGGGGGCCGTGAAACTCGCACAGGGGCGGAGGGGGGGGGGGGTCTGCGGGCCACCCTAACCCCCACCCCTCTAAATCCAGTCAAATTTGATTTTACGGCCGTTGCACTTTTGTTATATAGTTTCAGGCTGCCTGTCCGTCTCTCTGACCGGCTTAGCCGTCCGCGCATCCCTGCAATCCGCGTTCCCTCGCCTCCCGGCCGGCTTCCTCCTATTCTTACACTGCTCCCCTGTGATCCCCAGCTCCCTCTGACCTCCCCTCCTGCTCGTGGGGGTCTTCGGAAGAGCCGCGAGCTCCTTGTCCCCCCACACCCCCCCCCCCCGTTCATCGCCCGGTCGCCCGCGCGCGCACTGCGCTGCTCCCCCTCCTCCCCCCTTCCCATCTCCCGTGGCCGGGCGCGGCCTATTTATTTATTTATCTATTTACGCGCTCGCTTATTTATTTATTTGTTGTGTTTGCGCGTCTCAATTCTTCACCGACAGCGCCGCTTGTTAACCAGTGCCGGCAGTCACTGCCCCCCCCCACTCCTTCTGTCCCTCCCTCCTCCCCCATACACGGACACTCGAACCTGCTCTATCCCCTTCCTCCCATTGCCCCCCCCCGCCCCCCACGTCTCCCCTCCCCCCGCCAGGCATCGTGATCAATCGGGGCCGGGGTCAGCGGGGTCAAGCTGCCAGCGCGTGCATCATTAGCCCCGTGTACAGCAGCTGATAAGTGGCAACAGAGATTGAAAAATGCTTTCGCTTAAAACATAAAGAACACATTGGGGTGGGGGGGGGGGTGCTGTCTGCGTAAGGGTGCGGCTAGAGGGCCCACCGCGCCACAACAAATACCACGCGAATATCACACAAGTATTGTACAAAACACATTGCCCCGTGGCATACCACGCCACGCAGTATGGCATCACACAAATAATACTCAATACCGCTCAATGCCACGCCATGCAACGTCAAAATACTGCCCTCTGCCACTCAATACCAAGCCATGCCACGCCGTAACACACGACGAAAACCAGGCAATGCTACACCCCAATTAACACACAATACCGCGTGACACTACACATATCATACATTACTTCTCATTCCCACCCCACAAATGCCATACAGCCGAGTACCACAGTACACGACATGGCCACACTGTAAATACCACAATTACACGATATATCATACCACACCACAAATACTACATGGAAAGCGCACCACCCCATGACAAATTAACTAAACCATATCCACCCCACAACCACCGTACAATGCCTGCACATCATCAATTTACCATCACTACACCACAAATACCACGCTGTCTACCCTATCTAGCTAGTGTCATCCGCAACTCATGATTAATGTCTATGACAGATGCTTTCCATCTTTTGCGATTCAATACCCTACAACCCCACCGCAAGCACCATGTCACTACACCACCACTACCACAAGCACCACGCCACACAAGGAAGGCCACGCCTGTCCCACCACCACCACATAAAACCATATTGTCATCAACATATCATCATCGCCTGCTCAGCACACATACCAGACTGACCACACCACAACCACCACACACAATACCACGCTGTAGAATAGCACACCATCACCACATATGGCACACCGATACTGTTACACCACAAAATACCACACCACAGAACATCACACCACAGAGCATCCCATCACAGAACATCACACCACAGAACATCACACTACAGAACATCACAAAACATCACACCACAAACATCACACCACAGAACATCACACCACAGAACATCACACTACAGAACATCACACTACAGAACATCACACTATAGAACATCACATAACATCACACCACAAACATCACACTACAGAACATCACATAACATCACACCACAAACATCACACCACAGAACATCACACCACAGAACATCACACTACAGAACATCACACTACAGAACATCACACCACAAACATCACACCACAAACATCACACCACAGAACATCACACCACAGAACATCACACTACAGAACATCACACCACAGAACATCACACTACAGAACATCACACCACAGAACATCACATAACATCACACCACAAACATCACACCACCGAACATCACATAACATCACACCACAGAACATCACACCACAGAACATCACATAACATCACACCACAAACATCACACCACCGAACATCACACCACAGAGCATCCCATCACAGAACATCACACTACAGAACATCACATAACATCACACCACAGAACACCACACTACAGAACATCACACCACAGAACATCACACCACAAACATCACACCACAGAACATCACACCACAAAACACCACACCACAGAACATCACACCACATCACAATCACCACCCCGTAGGTCACCCCGCGCCACGTGCAGAGACAGTGCACGTGGCTGCCCTGGCAGTGTGGCTTCGTGACCCCAGTCACGGGGAAACTAAAACAACAGCAGCAGCAGCAATAACACGAGAGAAAGTGAAATAGATTAAAAAAAAAGTTGTTTACTTGATATATATAAAAATAAAAAATAACTTACAAAACTAATCTAAATCAAATCATCTTTAGAAGAGGTTTTAAAGTCTTGTATTGGCAATGGAATGGAGGCCGGCGCGCAGTCGGCCGAGCTTGCGCCGCAATCTCGGCATTCGTTCTGCGCCGCGGCGGAGGGAAGCGTTTGGGCCGCGCGAGGAGGAGGAGGAGGACGACACGGGGCGCCTCAAGTGTCCCCCCGGGGCCGCCGCGCACAATAACCCGCACAGTAACGAGGTAAATTTAGTTTTGAGCCCCCGAATCAAAAAAACATAAAGTGGGGTAACGTGGCTGGTTTTTCTCCATTATGGAACGCATTACCCGGTGACAGGCCATGAAATGATTTCACAGCCTCCTCCTCAACCCTCTGTGCTTCTCCCGCTGCCCGCATCACCCACCCACCTACCCCCTTCCCCTCTCGCCAACACCCCCAGAACCCCACGCGCTCACCACACCTCACTCACACATCACGCGTTCACACTTTGCCCTCTTGTAATTCCTAACTGTGCCCCTCCATACAATCCGCGCGTGACATTCCCACCGAACATATTCCGGGTCAGTTGTGGACCAGGGGTAGGTAGCACGACGACGTGACTCGTCGCCGCCGCAGCCATAGCGAGAGGCACATTGGATGCGGCGTTCCGGGCGCGGTTCTATTTCTCTGGGGCCGCTGTCTCGGAATAACTGGGCTGAATTGAGCCCTTAGCGGCTTAACCTGTAATGTCCGCCCCCTCCTATCTCGCGCTTCCCCGTGTCCCCCACAATCCCCTCTCCCCCCTGCTGCTCGCTCGCGCCCTCGCCACGGAGACGTCACGGGCCGCAAGGCGCCTCGTGGGGGTCGCGACGGGGGCTAAGGCGGGCGGGGGGGGGGGGGTTGGGGGGCGGCCTGGAGGTGCGACACCGATTTGGCCCACTCCTGATGGAGGCGGTCGTATGGATGCGGAGGGCATGGCAGACGGAACAAAGCGGAACAGACGAGAGCAAATATGGGAGAGGCGAGGACGTGAGAGGAGAGAGCAGGAGACGGAGGGGGGAAGGAGGAAGAGGAGGCTGGTGTCTGGACTGGCCTGTGGAATCGACTACATTCACACCCAGTCCTGGCGACCGCGCTCTCAAAGTGCCATTGTAAATGACCTCTGGCTCGAGCTCCCGCGTGCAGCTTTAAATGACTGTTAGGGCCAAGTGCTTCCATCGAGCACCCATTTAGGACGGCACAGACTTCGACGGGGGTCGTGTTTCGAGCACCAAAGACAAATATACCCCGTATAGCCTACACATACTACTGGGACAAGTGCTGTTAACGAGCACCTATTAAGGCCGACACAGTGCGCGTTACGCACCATGCCTAGCCACCTTCGTCTCCCCAGTGCCGATGTGTACACACCACATCAGTTGGTCATTTCGTGCCGAGTCAACCTAGGAGAGGTCCAGCATCGGATTGGGTACTACTTTTTCACTGATGTCAGCCCTAAACGGGAATCGAACTTTGGCGCCGGGTTCGTAGGATGGGTTGACGAAACATTGCGTCACCACCTCGCACCACCAACCACGCAGCCACCACTCGCCACTGAGCGGCGGTGACGTCACGGCAGAGATGCGGTGCCAGGCTAGGTGCACTTTGAGGCAACCAAAGGGAAGTGTAGAAGGCTCATTATTTCTGGCAGGGATGACACGGGGGGGGGGGGGGGGGGTGGGGGGGTTACGGAGTAACTGACCGAGGTGGTTAGCAGCAACACACGCCCACACACAGACACACGAAGACAAAGATTCCCCATGTAGCCTCAAAGACTGTTGGTGCAAGTGCTGTTTGCGAGCATTTATGAAGGCCGGGAATCAAACTTTGGTCGCCGGGTTCGTAACGCAGCGCGCTAACCGCGACATCACGCGCACGCACGCGGCCAGGTGTGTGAGACGACACGGCCAGGTATTCTTGTTGCGGATTAATTTA